GCATGGTTATGATGTCCTAACTGTGAGATCACTTCTCCCCTGTGCACTTCATTTTATACTTGGTGGGTCTTGTAACAGAAACGTACACTAACAAATCATATCATGCCGTCCTTCAGCTTTGAAGTCTTTGCATTTATAATAATATCCAAACTCTTCACCAACTCTTAAAGGTCTCCCTGTACGTTCCAACTCTTGCCTAATGTCCAACCTTATGTAGGAGTACTTTCTCACTCTGTCCTTTCACTTCTTCGGACACGTCTGACATTTTCTGCCCTGAGTCATTGTATTTGCCACTCACTCCACGTGGAATGCTTTTCCCATCTTTAAGGTTCAAGCTTTATGTACAAAATCATTAGGAACCTGAGGTGTAGACTCCAATTGATAGTTTAGATCCCAGCTCTAGCTTAAAATTCTTCTGAATGATTTTGGAAAAATTATATAATCATTAAAAATTTATTAAATGGCCATAAGATAGTACTATAATATTATGTCTGAATCAAGTGAAATAATCCCTAAAAAGCACGTAATAATTTCCTGACCCACTGTGAGTGCTAGGTAAATTTTGGCTGCTGATATATTACCGTCAGTAGTACCTCTGATGTTACCTTCTCAATGTTGCCTTTCCTGACCATAGTATCTCAAGAAAGGACTTTATCACCGCACTCTGTTTCTGCATCACAGTATTTTCATAAAGTTGGTTTCATACGTTATTCACTTGTTTATTTTCTGCCCTTCTCACTAGAGTGAGGACCAGGATCATGTACATGTTGTTCACATTGTCTCCTTAGCACTTATCACTCAGCAATATTTTCTGAATAAATGAGTAGAAGCAGTTTTACCTTGAGTCTCACTGAAACTATAAAGAAGAACTGTCTTCCATCACCTCTCTATTATAAAGAGAATTCATCCCTTTGATTTGTCTCTTTCCTTTGAACGTTCTGCACATGATGTTTCTTTGCTACTTTAGAGAGGGAAGTCTTTGCCCAATATGGAGTGTTGAGATAGGTCTTTAGAGAGCTCATAGGCCTCTGTTGAGATAATCCGAATTGTATAAAAGGAGAAGAGAAAAGCTTAGGACTATTCACATTTCATTTTGTCAGAGATTTTTTTCTTTGTCAGGACAGTAAAAGGAAAGAACTCCCTCCATAGGCAGCTGAGACGACACTTGGCCTCTCTTGGTGGAAAAGTTAAGGGCACTACTTCCCTTCTTGGTTAGCCCACAGCACCCTCCATTTTCCTTCGTACAGCACGTCTGCCCAGTGTAAACTAGAGAAGACTCAGCCTAGCAGTTGCACTGAGGTATTGAAGTAGGTCCTGACTGGGTTTGTCTTTCCTCACCAAGAACTCAGCTCTGGCCACCTAAGCTTGCATGTACTGTTGGCGTGCTGCTGAGAGTCATGTCCATGTTTTTCCCAATGGTAAATTCTGATCAATTTTCACATTGACTTATGGTGGATAGGCTTGCTGGGACATACCTGAACTTGCTTTATTTCCAGATGTTTTTGCAGTACCTACATGGGGGATTTACAAAAGCTGGTAGGTATATATAATGTCTTGTTAAGGTGCGGCATAAACACTGCTTACTCCACTGTGTTCTATGAGCGCATTTCTGAAGACTGTGGCTCTGCAGGAGCTGCCTGCAGGGAGGGTAACCGTGTTCAGTTGCGGCAGTGCCAACGTATGTATCTTGAGAAATTTGGCCCACGCCTGCCACCGCCACATCTGGCTTTGTGACTCTGAGAACCCTTACCACATCTCACTGTCTTCTCAGGCCAGGGTCACTGCAGCGTGCAGCTTTTTCATCCATACCTGCTGCATCCACAAGGCCTGGTACAACAGGATTTGAAGCCAGTGTTCTGGGAGATCACAGAGCTTTGAAAAGAGATGCAGTTGTCCAAACTCAGCTACCCCTGGAAGCCTAGGGTGCTACGTGGGCCTAGATGTGGGTTTCCCGGGATGGACAGAGGAACATAAAGATGAGGATCCTGGAGGTAGCCCCGAGCCAGAAGTCAAACATCTGCCCCGGAGGGACGAATGGCTGAAACAACACTGAGGGACAGTACTGAGCCGGTGCTACATACTGTTCCGGGACAAATGGGGGAGGAGACAGTTCTGTACCTCATGAAGTGACCTTTCTTTCACACTGAGTTCTGCAGCTCACAGGTGGACTTTCAAGAAAATACCAAAGACCAGGGAGTTCAGAGCCTGAAAAACACTTTCAGTGGCAGCTTTTCCTGGGGCAGCTGTGAACATCCATCATTGTTAATATCGTTCTTATCATGAATTGTGCCCTTTGCATCTCCCTAGCTGTTTTGTCTAATTCTTCTGTTAAGTTACAGGCCTTCCTATACTTGAAAATAGTCGTATACCTGCTAGGGGGAAGTCCTGGCACCCCTGTGTCAAGGTCAACCCTAATGGTTGATCCTGAGCCAGTGATGGCAGAAGTAGTGTTCAGTCTGTTGCTATCAGGCTGTCTTTCCAAGTCTCCTGGGAGCTCCTTGAGGGCAGAAGCTCTTCTTCCCTTATTGCTGATTTTATTCCTAGCATCTTGCATTGAGTTACATAAACGAATGAAAGTAAATAAATACTAGCCCAGGTATAATACATTGAATCTCAAGTGTAGTGTGGATAGGACTAGATTTAAAAGGTTCTTATACTGTACTTTATCCGCATTATTCTGTCTACCTCTCTACCTCTGCCCCATCACAACTGTGCTGACTCTAAAGCATTCAGACTTCGACTTCAGTGGCATTTATTTTAAAAAGAAGCATTATCTTTGAATGATGAAAACACCTAATCAGCATCGTGGGCGGAATTCAGCATCCAGAACAAGACTGGGGTAAAGGGAGGGCTGGGGAAGCTTAAAGGGGAATGGGGAATGACGTCAGCCACAAAGGCCAGGGTGTTCGCATGGATTGTGACAGGAATACTCAGTGTTTTATTCTTTCTATCACTGTAAAAGGGAGTTATTAGGGGTGAGAGGAGGCATATTCCTGAATTCTGGGTGGAGATGATAAATTGAAGTCCTAATAACCAATCTAAAGAAGTAATTATAAAATGTACCATGGTGCCATGGGGCATATAAATACTTTATGTGTCCATGTATCATGCTGCTCTAGCTAGATCCTAGACTCCCTAAGCAAGAGGACTGAGTTTGTGTTTGTACTACCATTGTGTCTCTTTATGACATCTGTGTAATATCCAGTGAATTAAATGGAATAGAGAATAGAGGACTTAGTCCTAGATTTCACAAAAGAATATAATTCCTGACCTGGCGTTGTGGCTCACGCCTGTAATCCCAGCACTTTAGGAGGATCACTTGAGGTCAGGAATTTGAAACCAGCCTGACTAACATGGTGAAACTCCATCTCTACTAAAAATGCAAAAATTTGTTGGGTGTCATGGCGCGCAGCTGTAATCCCACCTGCTCCAGAGGCTGAGGCATGAGAATCACTTGAACTTGGGAGGAGGAGGTTGCAGTGAGCTGAGATTATGGCACTGCACTCCAGCCTAGATGATAGAGTGAGACCCTATCTCAAAAAAAAAAAAAAAAAAAAGTGTATAAATTCCTTTAAAGGGACCAAATGTAATAATCTGGGCAGTTACATAAGAATGCATGGTTTTATTTAGTTAAGTACCTAGTGAACTGCAGACATAGTAAATCTCTATATATAAATTCAGGAAGACACAACGTTTTAATTGAGTTAAGATTAATATCTAGTGTTCCAGTACTAACTGACTAGTAACACTATTTCTCCCATAAGGCTGTTGGGGTTTAAATGAGAAAGTGACCTTAAAGTGCTTAAAATGTGACTGGTGCAGATTGAGCTCCTGTGGATATTAGAGAAATCAAGATTTGAGCAGACAGGATTGAAACCAGGTCCTGATGAAGAAGCAGGATTGAGCCAGAAGGATATGAACTATTAATTCTAGCACTGGCATTTAATTGCTTTTGATCTTTGGCAAGTCTCTGAAGCTTTCTGTGCTCCATTTTGCTTTGTATAAAAAGGCGCTATTGCAATCACAGTGTTTGGTACACGGTTTGTGCCCAAAAATCATAGCTGTTCTTATCATAGATGTTGTTATTACCACCTCTCTTATCATCATTGTCACCATTGTTGTCATTTTCAGGGTAGAGAATAGCTAGAAATTGGCCATCTTGGAGCAGTGGAGCTGAGGTCTCAGGGAGTAAAGGGAAACAAGATTTATATTTAGAAAAGGGTCTGACTGTAAAATGTGTCTTCAAATTAAAGGACTATCAGAAAAATAGAAAACTTTGATCATGATTATAGTGATTTATGCTGGTTACAGTATCTAAGATATTGAATTTTATATAGGTTAAATTATATTTCACTTCAGTATTTTGAGATGATGCCACATAAATTGTATTCTTGCAATGGCTGTTTTCTATTTAAATACAGGCCTTTTTAAAGGACCCAAGTTTGGGTGTTTTTTTGTTGTACCGAAACCAATTGTAAGATATATAACGAAAAGGACCATACTTTACAGTTTGCTACTGTAACCACCTACCTTTGGAATTAGATTTGAAAGTGTTAAGTGGTTGATACAGGGAGTAATGAAGCAGTAAAAGTATTTTATAAAGCCAGTAGAACCGTATCTATGTGACATAAATGAAATCTTTAACTTTTAAAGTCAGGCTTAGCAGCAGTTCACGTAGCTTTGACTAGTAATTCTGTTACTAAGCATCTATGTTACAGAAATGAAATCTTTAACTTTTAAAGTCAGGGTTAGCGGCAGGTCACCTAGTTTTGTCTAGTAATTCTGTTACTAAGCATCTATGTTACAGAAATGAAATCTTTAACTTTTAAAGTCAGGCTTAGCGGCAGGTCACCTAGCTTTGACTAGTAATTCTGTTACTAAGCATCTATGTGACAGAAATGAAATCGTCAACTTTTAAAGTCAGGCTTAGCGGCAGTTCACGTAGCTTTGTCTAGTAATTTTGTCACTGAGCAAATGTCCTTCACATTTTTTTCTCTCAGAACGATATCGCATTCAGAGTGAACAATTTGAAGATCTTTGGCTCATAACCAGTGAGCTTATTCTTCGCCTTCAAGAATATTTTGAAAAACAGGGAGTCAAAGATTTTGCATGTTCTTTTTCTGGATCTATGCCCCTTCAAGAATATTTCGAGTTGATTGATCGTCATTTTGAGGTATGTATAATGATAACCCATGTCATCTATAATCCTTAGATATATGAAAGAGAAACAGATGCTATAGAAGAATTCTGTGTACATGCCATCAGGCTGTATGCTTTTAGTTGTTATTCTTACGTGGATGTTGGATTTCGTGAATCCATTCCTGCCCACTTGCCCAGTTTGCGATCAATTACAGACATTCACAGAGTGGCTGCCTGGAGCTAACCATGTCGTCTGGCCCTGGAACAGAGCTGATTTAATTCTCCCACATGGAGACTTAACCCTTGACCCCAATAATCCGGTGTTAAAACTATTTGAGCTTATCAGCAGCCATTTTGCTAACTGATGCTAGCAGGCCATAAATGAGGTGTGATTATAAACGAAAGCGATTTTTCTTTTTCTTTTTTAACAAGCGTAACAGAACTTCTGCATCTGAATGAGGGTTAACACTTAAAATATTTCCCAGTATCTGGCACAGTGGGTGCTTAGTAAATACTGAATGATTAAAAGGTATATGAATAAATGAGATCTAACAGCTTTGTTGCTGTGAATATTTTGCATTTCTTCTTTGCAGGTGCCTTCAGAGCCTATGTTAGATTCTGTTGAGTACCTCAATAGTGACATGTCTTCATCCTTTGAAGATTGATTTGGGAATAGCCAAATGCTTGTGAATGGATTTGACAGTGACAGTCATTGTTTTTGAAAAGTCCTGTGTATTAAAATAAGTGGAGCATCAGACTCCACTTATATAGACTATAAACAGACTCTATAGACAATACAAAAGAGGAATTTTGAGAGAATTTCAAACATTATCGAAGTAAGCATTGGTTCTCAGGGGGACTACATTTCAGTTTAGGGGTGTGCATGTGTGTGTGTGCATATGTGTTTGTGTGTGTGAGGGAGAGAAGGAGAAAGAGAGAATTACTAGTCATAATTTGTCAGTCAACCACTGAACATTCTAATAGCACTGACTTTGAGCTGTGGAGACTTCTTTTAATGGAGTGTGAACATAAAGAGAAAATTTCAGGTGTACACAATCGAATTATGAATAATTATGTCATAATTTCTCATCTATGATGAGGATCTGTGATAATAATATTTTCTAGGGACTCATGCCTTTGATCAAATTGTAGCATGAAAATTGACAGTCTGTGAGAGTATGTTTAGGTATCATAACCGTTGAGAATCTTTGCAATTCTCTGGGATATATTTTAAGAAATTCTCGCTTCACTGTTGGAAACTGAATTCTAGTGATTTGTGAAAGAGTCCATAGAAAGACTACACTAATTACATATTTGTAATATTTGAAATAGAGAATATTAGCTACTATTGACTAATAATAGATTCTGTTGACTTACTGACTAATAAGTTTGACATACAAATTTCCCTTCATACTTTCTGGCTAGTAAGTAACTCCCTGGAGTTTCTACATCAGGGGCATGTCTTTTCTGAGGAAGACCTTGGAGAATTTGGTGAAGGACAGGCACTTCCGTTTGTTACACACATAAATTAAGGCGGGGCATGGTTATGCTTCCTTTGCTCCGTGTCCTCTTTCTCTGCTTTCAGCCCATAGTAATATTTTAAACTTTGAATGGAGATGGCCTTTGGAGTCCAGGTGTCCCTTGGAGTGTAAGCTTCATGAAGGCAGAAATTTTTGTCTGTTTCATTCATTGCTTTAATTTCTAGTGCCTGGACCAGGGTTTGGCTCTGGGATCAATAAATATTTGTTAAGCATTGAAATTCTGACATGTGAAAACATTTCGATCACTGCTGCTTGGTTACACATTCAAAGGAATGATTACTTGGTTGATAGTCTGAGTATTGAGAATATCTTTTTAATTTTTGGGTGTATCAAAAATTCAGGAAATAAATTATTATAGCAGTAAATTATACAATTAGAAGAATGAATGATTAGATTAATGTTCTTTTTAAAACTTCATTTAAAAATATTTTTATTACTTAATTATTGGTGTTTTTTTCCTCAAGAAAATATTGTTTGATTTAGTTAGCTACTGAGTTCTTCTAAAACTGGGATTTAAAAAAGGTTAAAATTCCAAGTTACTTTTATTCCACATGTAATTGCAGAATGCATGCACTGTAAGGGTAAGGAATTTGGGTTATTACTAGAAATGTAGACTGATACGTTTGACTTCTGAGTGTTTTGAGTATGATGTTTATTTCAGCTAGTTTATTACTGTTTTGTAAATTAGTGATTCTCATGACCCGATCTTAGAAGTGCTCCTTTACCCTGTGACTTTGACTAGCTTTTTTAAACAGTATTAACTTAAGTGAGACGGGTTACAGTGAAAAGTGTTGTTAATGATTCTAATTCCCCAGCTACTCAGTCTCTTCTTTGGTGTCCAGTTTCTTGTATATCTTTCTAGAAATATCCTATGCAGTCACAACTGTGCTGATATATAGGTTTCTATTGTTAAAATAAAAAATAATGAATGGTAGCACATTATACATGCTATTTGTATCATTTGGCTTTGTTTGCATTCATCATCTTTGGACAGCATTGCATATCAGCACCTAGTAGTCTTGCAGAGTAGTTTTCCCTCTTTAACTGATTCCTCTATTGATAGGAATTTTGATTATTAATAATGTCTTACTATGATAATAGATCAAACAATTGTATAACGAATATCCTTGTATATACATTACTTTCTGCAAGTATCTCTCTAGGATACATTTCCAGAAGTGAGATTGTTAGATCTAAGGCTATATGTTTAAGAGCTATCTGTATTACCTTTTATGTAAAACTTCGCCCATTTTTCTATTGTATTGTTGCTGATTTCCTACTGATTTCTATCGGGTTGTGGTTTTGGGCATGACTTTGTCTCTGTAGTTGTTGCTATTATTTTTTGCAGTTTGAGATTTGTCTTATTTTCTTTATAATTAAAAAAAATCATTTTGAAAAAATTTTTTAAGTTAATAATTCATCAAGGGTGTGTTTGTGTGTGTGCACATGTGGCTTTTAGCTTTGGACTTACACTAATAAAGGCCTTTCCTATACCAAGATTATTTTTAAAATTCTTATTTTTCTAATGCTTTTATTGTGTCTAAACTTTTAATCTCTGTGTTAATTTTGCTGTAAAGAATGGAAAAAGATTTCTATTTTTTCTCATGTAACCATTTATTGAAAACCACTTATTAAATGATTTGTTTTTCCTCCAATGATACTGGATAACCTTTACAAATTTTCCATTTGATCTGTTCCAGTGTATTATCTGTGAATTAGTGAGTCATGTACCAAATACTGCATTGTTTTAATTCCTTTAACTCTATAATACATTTACATTTTTTCATTACTCTTTTTATTATCATTGTGTATACTTTTTCTTTAAACATGTTTTTGGTGTCCATTGAATCTCAATTTAAGAAATTCTTCATTGCAGCTACGGATGAATGGTGAAAAATTAGAAGAACTCTTATCTGAGAGAGCTGTGCAGTTTCGGGCTATTCAACGCCGGCTCTTAACAAGATTCAAAGATAAAACCCCTGCCCCTCTTCAGCACCTGGACACCTTGTTAGATGGAACCTATAAGCAGGTCAGTATAATGTCAGTAACAGTTTTCTATTGCTGGCTATACTTCTATTTTGTCACCTTAGAGTCATGTACCAGAATATCAAGGTAAGTGCTTTAAGGAACTGTGAACAGTGCATAAGCTTTAGAGTAAAAAAACACCTGGGTTCAAAGTCAAACTGCTGCTTTCTAATGATATGACCTGGGGTAAATTATGTAAGTGCCATCAGTTTCTACACATTACCTCCCAAAGTAGTTGTGAGGGTTTTTAATCGTTTATGTAACTAGAACAATGCCAGGCATGTAATATGTGCTTGATAAATTCTAACTATTATGATAGTATCATTAGACAGTTCTTGGTACATCCCATAATTATTACCATAATTTTCTGATTGTTTTACCAAGCAAATGACTCAAACTTCTAGTGTTATGTCAGTTGATATTTTGAGATGGAATTCTTAAGCAGCGTTTTTCAAAGAGTTCTAGTTCAAAAGGTATTTTTTCTACTTGGCTCACCTTCCATTCATAGCTTATCATTTGCGTGGCTGGGGTGATCTGGCTGTCACTCCTAAGGCACTGCCTCTCCAAAAACTATTCAAAATTATTATCTCTAGCTTAAAAATTATTTTTTAAATTTTAAAATAATTTTTAAAAATCATGAGAAGGCGCTTTTTAGTTTATTGTCTTTGTATGATTATAATGAAGACTGAATGACGACATTGTGTATTCCTGTATTTCTTTACAATGTCACTCCCGTTTCAAAATCAGTGTTGCTGATGTGAACATTCTGTTGATTTTTCTAATTGAGTTTTTTCATTGAGATAATTCCATATTTCTGTGCAGTTGTAACGAATAATGCAGAGAGATCTCATGTCTTCTTTAACTGCTTTCTTCCAATGGTAACATTTTGCAAAACTGTGGTATAATCCCATAAGCAGTATATTGACACTGATGCAATCCCAAGGTGTTGTTCTGACTTGCTGACTCATTTATGTGTGTGTATGTATTCAGTTCTGTGCAATTTTATCATGTGTGTAGGTTCAGCATCTGTCACCACATTCTAGACACTGAACAGCTCCTTCACCCACAGGACTCCGTCATGGGGTCCTTTATCACCATATTTCTGCCCTACTCCCCTGCCCCACTCTGTTGATTTTGAAAGGACAAATCAGATTTTTTTTTTTTTTTAGAATTAGTTTTCCTAGAGGACAGAAAAATAGCTTACTGTGTTTTTGTTCATAATACATTTGTTTCTTAAAATGTTCATGGTTATTTGGAAATTAGTAGCAATTTAAAGGACAGTCTATAGTAGCAGTGGAACATTGGAAGGAACATTGGGCTTGGAATTCAAATACCACAGTGTTGTTGCTTATTAGCTATGTGGCTTTTGGCGATTCCCTTACCCTCCTAGAACTTCTGTTTTGTTCCATGACATGGGATGACGACTCTGTTGTTGCAAAGATTATATTCCATAACATATGGAAATTACAACATTTGTTTCACAAGTATGGACTGCCAATTTTGTGTATGAGTTGGGCGCAGGTGTAATATATGACCCTTCAGTCAGTAGGCACCAATGCCCTGTCTGTTCCACACCTCTTTTCCTCTTTAGTACTTTCCTCGTTTGGTTTGTTTTCTATTTCCTTCCCTCTTTTCCTTTTTCTTCTCTGTCTCATTCTGAGGTCTACTGCCATACCTGCCTGCCATACCTGAGGCTGAAGGTCAATCTTGTCTTTAATGATGCTGCTTTATCTTTTTGTAGACACAGTGCTGGAAGGGCATTTAAAGGGTCTTGAAGAGGATGCTTGATTTAATGCTTTCCAGATTTCCTATATAGTAAGACTTTGTCTTTTATACATTTAAAGTGCAGAGGTTTTTATTTTTTCTGCTTAGCCTCAGGGTTCAGGTTTTCCATGATTTGTAATTTTACAGACAAGATGATCAAAACCATGGGTTTTCACTTGAATGTATATTGTTATGTCCCATTCTTTTTAGATTAACAAAAAGAATGAATGAGCGTTTGAAGGAAAAATGAGTACTGTAAGGATTTTGACTTAGTTTTTATGTACCTTGCCATTCAATTTTATTATATATGTATCTGTAACAAATTAGGGTGAGGCATTGATTGTTCAATAATTTTCTTGAGTAGAATAAAATTTGTTTTAATTCCTTTTAGTTAATTTTTAATGACATACTTAACAAATGTATATAATTTCCCAAAGAAAATTATAACGTTATGCATAATGCTGAATTTCCCATCTTGGTTTCTTATCATCTGCTCAGAAATGTAATCATTCTTACTGTTTTTGTTTCTTTCCGCACCCTTCTTTTTGGCACATAGAAATGAAATATTGTTTCATCAGGCAGACAACAACAACAACAAAGCTCCATAAAGAGCATAATACTACATGTGCTAATCTAGCTCTCTTTTCCCTTTTTCTTCTAAAGTATGCACTGAAATTCTTTGCATATTAATGCATAGATGTACCTCTCTATTTGTATTGGTTACATAATAGTTTATGATATGGACAGTCTGTAGTATGGACAACCACAGTTTATTAAAGGACACATCTTAATAATAGTTTTAATGTTGAGTCTAACATTGAGAAAAATCTTTTTGACAACTCTCCTGGGACTGAACGAGCACACCACATACCTCCTTATCACACAGCCTCTGCTTAGTGTTTTTCTCATCTCTATGCTTTGCCTGGGTAGGGAGCAGGATTCGCCTGATGGGTGAGCCAAGCTCATGAAACAACAAGCCATGTAGGGCCCATTCCCACCCCTGTGGCGTGACTCCGTTACATGGCTGTTACTAGGTTTTTAAAGTGTTTTCTTTTTTTTAATGTACTACTTTAAAATTAGATCTGCTACCTGTTTGCAGGTCTTTTTGTTCCTCCTGTGATGGGATCTTTCAGTTTTTCAGCAAAGTGTTTGTTCTTCATGATACATGCATACACACAGGACACATATACCAGCATGCCCATACGTATACACTGCCTCACAGATACATTGTTCTTCATGAGACACGCATACCCACAGGACACATATACCAGCATGCCCATACGTATACACTGCCTCACAGATACGTTGTTTTTCATGAGACACGCATACACACATGTACACATATACCAGCATGCCCATACGTATACACTGCCTCACAGATACGTTGTTCTTCATGAGACACGCATACACACAGGACACATATACCAGCATGCCCATACATATACACTGCCTCGCAGATACGTTGTTTTTCATGAGACACGCATACACACATGTACACATATACCAGCATGCCCATACGTATACACTGCCTCACAGATACGTTGTTCTTCATGAGACACGCATACACACATGCACACATATACCAGCATGCCCACACGTATACACTGCCTCACAGATACGTTGTTCTTCATGAGACATGCATGCACACATGCACACATCTACCAGCATGCCCACATGTATACACTGCCTCACAGATACGTTGTTCTTCATGAGACATGCATACACACAGGACACATATACCAGCATGCCCATACGTATACACTGCCTCACAGATACGTTGTTTTTCATGAGACACGCATACACACAGGACACATATACCAGCATGCCCATATGTATACACTGCCTCACAGATACGTTGTTCTTCATGATACACGCATACACACAGGACACATATACCAGCATGCCCATACGTATACACTGCCTCACAGATACGTTGTTTTTCATGAGACACGCATACACACAGGACACATATACCAGCATGCCCATATGTATACACTGCCTCACAGATACGTTGTTCTTCATGATACACGCATACACACATGCACACATATACCAGCATGCCCACATGTATACACTGCCTCACAGATACGTTGTTTTTCATGAGACACGCATACACACATGCACACATATACCAGCATGCCCACACATATACACTGCCTCACAGATACGTTGTTTTTCATGAGACATGCATACCCACAGGACACATATACCAGCATGCCCACACATATACACTGCCTCACAGATACGTTGTTTTTCATGAGACACGCATACACACATGCACACATATACCAGCATGCCCACACGTATACACTGCCTCACAGATACGTTGTTTTTCATGAGACACACATACACACATGTACACATCTACCAGCATGCCCACACATATACACTGCCTCACAGATACGTTGTATCAGATTGTAGCTCAACCAATAGTGTATGAAAACGCCTGCTTTCCTAGGCATTATTACTTATTTTCATCTTTACAATTTTAACTGAAACATTAATTTGATTTACTTCTTGCCTCTTTCCTTGCTTACCAGAGAGGCTGCATGTTTTTCATATGGTAACTGGCCATTTGTATTTCTTTTTTTCTTTTTTTTTTTTTCGTTTTGAGACAAAGTCTAGCTCTTGTCCCCCAGACTGGAGTGCAATGGTGTGATCTTGGTTCACTGCAACCTCTGCCTCCCAGGTTCATGCGATTCTCCTGCCTCAGCCTCTCAAGTAGCTGGGATTACAGGTGCCCACCATCGCACCAAGCTAATTTTTGTATTTTTAGTAGAGACAAGGTTTCACCCTGTTTGTCAGGCTGGTCTTGAACTCTTGACCTTAGGTGATCCACCCACCTTGGCCTCCCAAAGTACTGTTGGGATTACAGGCGTGAGCCAGCGTACCCAGCCTGTATTTCTTTTTTTATGACTTACATATGTTCACCTTTTGTCTAATATTCTATCACGTGCATCTTTTTCTTACCATTTTATGTATATTAAGACTCATATTCTTTGATCATACTTTTGTCATGCATGAAAATACTTTGCACCTATTTACATATGTAATTTCTCATACATAAAAATGTTTTACCAATGTGTCATTTGCCTGTTATTTTTTATTCATAATATATTTTTGACACTTGAAGTTTAAAAACATTTGCATAATAAAATCTGTCCATCGTTTTCCTTTAGGTTTCTCTGCCTAGGAAATCCTTCCCTATGTATGCCAAGAGTATATGAGTATCAATTTATA